ATGATATTTTTTAATTAAAATTACAGGTTAATGTTCACCAATAGCTGTATAACTTAAACACAGGTCTCCATTCCAAAAGAAAAAATAATTGATGTCATGTACAAAACAGATTGCGACAGCCATGAAGACAAAGTATATTAAGGGAAAATTTCATAATGGTTTGAACCTAGACTGTAGCAGCATAGGCAATAGTGCGACTCAAATGCTATAAAATATAAATTAGTGATGAGGCTATCACAGCACACATAAAAAATCAAAATATTTCTTATTTCAAAAACACATCAATTTTGCATAGAGAAAATAAAAGCAACAAGTATAGAATATTATGTGGTGACCCCATCCCTCGGTCTTAGTACCGCAGTCATCCACTGGCCCTTCAGGTTGGGGGAACACTTACACTATCACACACACAGTACATAAACACATTACACTGTACACTAGGTCATCTACAGTACACACCTTAGGACCACCTTCCCTAGGAAGCCGCCCGGAGGGGGTGTCTGTCTGCAGGCACAAAGGCGCCAGCCCCACCAGCAGGCTAAGGTATGTAGTATGGGTTGATGGCCGCACTACCCGAAATTAAACCAATCAGGAAACCTAAAACAGACTCGGAACTTAATAGTCAAAAACGGAAACAACCCGGCAACCCCAGGCTTAGCTTTAACGTAGGATACTGGAATGTCCTTACTCTCTATAGACCCGGAGCACTAAAATTGCTTTAAGAACTAACTGACAGATATCAGTTAGACATTACTGCCATCCAGGAAATCCGATGGACTGGTCAGGGAATCATTGAAAAAATGCGCCACACCATTTACTACAGTGGCAGAGAGAGGACTCATGAATATGGCACAGAATTTGTCATAAAAAGAAGACATCGACAACAAGTAATAGGGTTTAGGGCTGTAAGAGCAAGAATTTGTGTAGTAAGGATCCAAGGAACATTTTATAATTATTCCATTTTAAGTGTGCATGTCCCTCCTCCCCCCACAGAAGTTTTGGAAGAAGGTGAAAAAGAAGCTTTTTATGAACTCTTGGAGAGAACTGTGGATGATTGCCCACAATATGAAATGAAAATCATCGCAGGTGAGTTCAATGCAAAAGCAGGCAAGGAAACAATATTTCACCCAACTATAGGTAAACATAGTCTGCATAAATCAAGTAATGACAACGGCATAAGGCTCATAAATTTTGCTACCTCTTGTGATCTTACAATCGGCATTACTCTTTTCCCTCACAAGAAAATCCACAAGAAAACATGGAAAAAACCTGATGGGTCAACACTGAACCAAATCGATCATATCTATATCAATAGGAGGCATATGTTAGAGTATTCAGAGGATTCCGGATTCCGGTCACTTTTTAAGCAATGCTCATTTCCGAGCAATGGATAGTGCTAAGAAAAGCAAGCGTACCAGCACAGAGGCCTAAGCGATACAACCTAAATAAGCTTAAGGATTCAATAATTCTCGCACAATATGAATCGGAACTGGATAAGTGTAAGCAGGTTGATGTTCTGGAGAGCGACATAGACACCGCATGTACTGCATACTCAGAGGCTATATCAGATATAGCCACTAAACTGCTTGGACCACAAAAGAGGGATTCGAGATCCCCATGGTTTGACGAGGAACGTAAGAGAGCAACACATTTGAAGAACGAAGCATGTAAAGCCAAGGTTCACCGCGACACCAGGAGTAACGCCGAATAATATTATAATAACAATATAACATTCTATATAGACAGAAGAGGAGAATGGAGAAACGTCTCCACCAGTATAAGAAAAGAAAATGGGAAAAGGAAGAATTGGAAAAGACTGAACTCCTTAGGGTAAATAAGCAGTATAGGGAATTCTTCAAAGAAGTCAATCAGAAAAGAAAACCTTTGAAAGCAAATCTACCTACTGTTTGAATGAAGGTGGCAAACTTCTAACCAATAGGATGGATATTCTTGAGGAATGGAAGAGGCATTTCTTTTGGCTTATTAATGAAGATCTTTCGAAAGAAGTTGGAAGCAACAGTTTTGTAGATTTTCCATTACTTCAGTCAATGGAACCGCCAGATGAAGAGGAAATTTTGAATTATCTGGTGAAACTTAAAAATAATAAGGCTGCAGAATTGCCTGCAGAACTACTTAAGTGTGAAGGAAGTGAATTACTAAAATCCCTTCAGAATATCATGATTCGGATCTGGACTGATGAAGTAATGCCAGAATCTTGGAATAAATCAATAATATGTCCAATCCATAAAAAGGGGGATCAGCAAGGGGGATCAGCTAGTCAGCGGTAATTATAGAGGCATCTCCTTACTCTCTTGTGCGTACAAAGTGTTGTCCAACATTCTTTTTCAAAGACTACTTCCCTAAGCAGAAAAGATCTTAGGTGGTTTTTGGAAAGGACGATTTACCATTGACCAGATATTTTGCTTGCGCATCATGCTTGAAAATGGATGTGAATATAAACTTAAAACACATCATCTTTTTGTTGATTTTAAAGAAGCGTATGATAGTGTTCATAGGGAACAGCTTTATGAGGCAATGAGAAAGCTCGGAATCTCTGAAAAGCTTATTAGAATGGTAAGAACCACCATGAGAGAAGTGAGATGCATGGTGCAAGTTGGAGGAGCAAAATCGGCAGAATTCACTTCTGGAAAATGACTAAGGCAGGGAGATGCACTGGCATGTCTCCTCTTTGATTTGGATTTAGAGAAGTCCATTAGAGATTCTGGTATTCAAGTGGGCGGACAGTATTCAGCCAGACAGTACAACTTCTTGCATATGTAGATGATATCGACATTGCTGGATGCTCTTTCCAGGCAGTCTTTGATGAATTCTTGAAACTAGTGGAAGCGGCTAGAAAAATAGGCCTTAAAGTCAACGCTACAAAAACCAAATATATGGTCACTAAGGAAAATCCCACACCGGGAGAAAGGATTACCATCACAGAATTCTCCATTGAAAAAGTGTTGGAATTTATTTATCTCGGATCCCTGATAACTCATGATAATATTGTAGATTCAGAAATTAAGCGAAGAGTACTAAGTGCCAATCATTTGTTATTATGGCCTCAGTCCATATTTTAGGAGCTGTGCCTTAACCAGAGGAACAAAAATCCTATTGTATAAAACAATTATCCGACCTCTTCTTTTCATCTCCTATATTAATGACCTAAATGATTCAATCATCTATTGTTCCCACCACCTTTATACAGAGTTACTGTATATGTGTGTGTGTGTGTGTGTGTGTGTGTGTGTGTGTGTGTGTGTGTTTATGTGTATATATGCAAGTCAAGTTTTTTTATGAAATGAACTTATTCTATCTCTTGTTCGTTCTTCATTTTTCAAAGTGTATATTTATGTTGTTCAACCATTATATATAGTTTTGTTCATAGTTTTGAATGATGTGTTCATAGTTTCAAGTGTTTTGTTCATAGTTTTAAAAGTTTTGTACATAGTTTTATCTGTATTGTATATAGCTTGTTCACCTAAGGTTTTCTTTACTTTTTAGTTTATTTTATTTATTGTTTCAAACTTTTAGGCCAGTATTATTCTATTCTTTTTTTCAATTTGTTATTCTAAAGGGACTTAGTCCCAGAATAAAGTTTTTTTTCTATCTATCTATATTATAATTCCAAAATACAATGATCTATTTTTTATGTAACTTGATATTTAGGCATAGATGAAATATTCACCTATGTAATGCTTCACAGCAGCTACAGGTTTAAAAAAATAAATTAAGATTTCATTATACATTATATGGTTAAAAAAAAAAGATTAAATAATGAATGCTTAATAAATATCAAGTCTTAATTGTAATCCAACTAATGGTGTAACATAATCAAAGGAATATGCAGCTCTAGCTTTTTTAGGTCTCCTGTAGTATCCATTGTTTATATGAATATTAAATACATCAATTTGGTGTGCTTGAATGTAGTCAGGAAAATGGGAGGCTGACTTGGTGTTTCACAAACAAAAAATTTAGCCAATAAATGTCATCTTCAGACACCTTCCAAAATCAATGGGAGGAGCACAAATATTGTTACCTTCCCTATTTTAAACTTGAAACCGGACATATCTGTATATATCAATCATAAAGGTATAGTAAACACCGTCAAACAAACCATTGTAAACAACAAAGATGCAAATTATAACTATTAACAAATACATATATTTGATGTAATGAAATCAAGGATAAATATTGATTTATCTATAAAACAAAATTAGTTCAAATTTGTCTTTTAAATAACAATGAGTTACCAAATCAACACACAGACCCCTCTCTTTTTTACCAACTTATATTATAATAGGAAGAAAATATTGAAACTTAATATTTATTTGTTGAACTGAATATTTTTTAATAGAATATTTAAAAAATAATAAAAATAATAATAAAAAAATAAATGTTTATAATTTATTTAACTTTTTAAAAATTTAAAAATGTGATCAAATATATTTTCTGAAATTTAAGTAAATTATAAACTAATTAATTATTTTGCAATAAAAATAACCTGTTATTCTTTATTCTTATTTCTAATTACATTTGCTTTTTTTTTAATTCAATTGCTCAGTACAAAATGCAACACTTAGGGTTTAAAACATACAATGTGAAAAACACTCTGACAATACATATCCTACAAAATTAATAAAAAAACATATTTCATTATTATTTTCTAGTTCATTCTAGCTGCTGCCAATCATTAGGTGAGCTCTACAAACAAAGAACTCTACTGAAAAAAAGGCATATGAAGAATTTTAACAAAAGCAAAAATAAATATTGGTGTACCAAAATATCTCACCTCAAAACCAAAAATAAGTGTCATTTAAAATAATTATTTCAAATTCATTACCTAATTGGAAAATAAAAACTATTTCATTTTGACCGAATGTGAAAATTAAAATAAATAAATAAATTAATAGTTTTAAAATTATATTTAAAGGTCCCAAACCCCACCTGCATAAAAACAAAAGTCTAAAATATTAATAATAATTAACAATTAAACGTACCTCAGCATAATGCTCTTCATTTTGCTGAAGAAGATCAACACAGAGTTCTGCTAAATGAATGAGGTCATCAAGTTTTTTACTTGGAGCTAAAATATTTTCACCAGAAGTCTCTTCTAGTAAAATCAAACCAAAAATTGGTTATAAAATGAGATTTAAGTTTAGAATTCATAAGGATAAAAAGGTTTTTATATAACTAGGCCATATTAGCATTATAAAGAACATAAGACGCAAATGAAGCAGTAAAACCAAAAACCAGAAATTAATTAGCAAATAATTATAAAAATTACAATATTGAATGTAGTATCATACGATTGATTTACATAACATGCTTTCTTCTAAAATTATAATTTATTAAACAGTTTAATTGATTTATTTTTTATTTTCCTCTTAAAAACTGCTTAATTTAGGATACATATATGGGAACCAGGGTGGTCAGGTGGACTAAGGTGTTTGCAATATATAATCCAAGTTAAGCAATTGTGTAATGAAATTGTGACCGCCCACCAGGAAAAGCAATGTAGTCCAAGATTCTCCCAAAAATTATCCTCCCTCAGATATGAGGGGTCCATTAGCTTATTGGAGGCAATTCACACAAATTGAGTGATGACCCCTACCCCTACCTTGAATGCCTTAATTGGAAATGTTTATTTGGTTTTCAAGGATCTCAGTAACTGTTCACAGCTCTGGTCCTGAAATGGGAGAGGAATAGACAAATAATACATCAATTCAATTAGAATTATTCCAACGTATATTCAACAATATATCACCATATAACATCTGGTATAATTAATAATAAATTCACAAATTCTCCACAACATTAATCCCTTCTTGTTCATCCAACAGTTTCTTCAAATGATAGTACTAGTACCTTTTTATTTACTCTGTATAATAATAATAATAATAAAAGGCTTAGAGAACCCGAAGGTTCGATGCCGACACCACCAATCGCTTATTACACATCTCCCTCCACCGATCGCCGTCCAAACCCAGTCCCTTCAGATCGGCTTTAATGCAATCTTCCCACCTTTGCTTCGGTCTACCCCTCGGACGCTTACCATTCGGCACAGCAAATATTAACCTTTTAGGAATTCTCTCGTTACTAAGCCCAAAAACTTTACAAGCCCATTTGATTCGCCGTGATGAAATTACCTCAATTATATTACCCGGATACAGCTCGAGCAATTCGGCGTTGTGTAACCGTCTAAACTCTCCGGTTAACTCATCCTTCTTCAGTCCGAATATTCTATGCAATACTTTATTTTCAAAAATCTTAAGACACTGCTCATCCCTTAATGTAAGCAGCCAAGTTTCGCATCCATAAAGAACTGTAGGCAAGATAATTGTTTTATAGATTCTAATTTTTAAGTTCCAGGACAAGAGGCGCGAACTAAGTAGTTTTGTCACAGAAAAAATTTACTCTGTATAACTCGTACAATTTTCAATAGCCTTTGTATCTGGTTCATTATATCACTGATGAAGACCTATAGCTAAAGCATAGCTAGGCTGAAATGTTGGCTTAAATAAAGTAGCTTTCACTATTTTAAGTTTTTTTTTATGGGCACCACCCCAGACCATCTCTCTCTTCATTATAGTTTTTATTATTATATACAGTTTTTATTATTATCACCTGCAATCTTTCCAATTTATTTGTGCGAATAGTATCGTTTCCAAATTGACGTTTAAATGTCATAATCACTCATTCTACCATCCCACTTTGGATAGAGAGCGGTAAATATTTGATTTACTCTGTTTTTTAAAAATAAACTAAGTATTTGGAGAATTTATTAAACCCGAAAATTATGACCAAGGTCCAGATTTTTATGCAGTAAAACCCCACAAAATATGTCATATAATATGCAGTAAAAAAACCTAAAATATGCAGTAAAAAACAACAACATGAAAAATGCAGTAACTGGTCTCTATATATACTAAACTTATTAATTACTTGATAACTAATAAGGCAATAACGTATTTAAATATAATAATGTGCCTACAAAAAGTTTTGTAACGCAAAAAAGTTATGGAGAGGTTGAAAATTACAATAATTTCAATTGTTTTTAATATCTAAACTAAAGAAAGAAAATAACTAAACATATACGGCTAATAAGGTTATAATGTAAATATATACATTATAATGGTAACGAAAGCGGGACATGAATCACATTAAAAAAATTTAAATATCACAGTATATACCAACGAAAAAACAATAATTGTCTTAACATAATTAAATAAGCATAGTATAGTAAAAAAATATAACAAATATTGAACAGTAAGTATGTAAGAGCTATAAAATTTTGTATGCAAATTGATAAAAATCTAACATGAGTCTTTATTGAAACAATAAAATAATTAGCAAATTGTGGAATAAAAAATGTAAAATAGATAAAATATTTGAATTAGTCTACTTCGTAGACATGTTCAGTATTAAAATTAATTACTAGAATCACTGCTACATTTGCCTCTGTGAAACTTAACCTTTTATAATTGGAAAATGATTTTTCTACATCAATGTCGCTGGGAACAATTAAATCTTTGCTATTTAAAAATTTATTAATATCTACCAGAATTGTGAGACCTGAATTTTAATAGAAACTTCTTCCATTTTTCATTTAAAGTTTCACCCATTTGGCCTGGTACCACTGGTTTCCGTCAGTTGTAAAAACTATTTCATGTCTGTTATTTTAAGGTTTAATCCAAGATTTAAACATTGATGAATAGTTTTGAACATCGATAGATACTTTTGGCATTTTAAATGAACAGAAATATCTCTTGCTAAGAACGTAGGCAACAAACTAAAATAGAAACTTAGTATGATGTTTACGTGGGACACGAAGGAAAAATGGATTTTTAGGAATTGGAGAACATCCATAACGAGAATTATTAAAAGGTATAACGGATGGTAGGTATACAGTTTACAAATGTGGTTGATTTTGTTCATTGAAAATAAATCCACGATTGTTATCTCGAATAGCATCTTCAATATTGCATTTTACTTTGTATATATAAATATTCATTTACATATGTATATATATATATTTAAACTTAACTATTTAATTGGGAATAAGGTCACTTAATTATTATTTAATAAACTATTGAATGTTCATTTCTTCTGTTTATTGACGTTTCGATCCCGGTATTTTCTTTTTATTAGTCAACCATGGGATCCTCTTCAAATCTAGAATTTTAACAAATAGAGCTTCGATCAGGCCATGGACACACCGACAGTCTCAGCACCGTCCACTAGCACATATATTAAGCTACCAAGTAATTTTACCTATTTATTTTTATATTTTCCACAATTTTAATACCAACACAAAACCACATATTTTAATACCAAGTTAAGAGTAGCTTAATATATGTGCTAGTGGACGGTGCTGAGACTGTCGGTGTGTCCCTGGCCTGATCGAAGCTCTATTTTTTAAAATTCTAGATTTGAAGAGGATCCCATGGCTGACTAATAAAAAGAAAATACCGGGATCGAAACGTCAATAAACAGAAGAAATGAACATTCAATAGTTTATTAAATAATAATTAAGTGACCTTATTCCCAATTGAATAGTTAAGTTTAAATTTAATACTCAAAGGTCGATTAAGGAAAAGTTGTAAATATATATATATATATATATATATTTTTTTATTCTTTCATTAAATTAATCAAAATATTCAATTTTATGCATTTATCTTCAAATATGCAATTATATGCATTTATCCTCAATTAATTTAAATAAAATAAAATAAATTTTGGATAATCGCATCGCAGTTTACTAATTCGCATAGATATTTGATCAGCAGTTAAAAAAAATAAAGCAAACAAAATATACAATTGCATAAAAATCTGGGCCTTGATTATAACCTTCCTTTCATGATTAGTAATTGAAACCTTTTGTCCATTTTTACTGAGAATTCTAGAAGGGGCTGAAATAGGTACAAATTTCCCATTGGGGTAACTATGGTGTAACAATGCCCCTACACCCTTTTTCAGAAGCATCTGTTGATTGTATAGTCTTATCATAATGAACTGATGTCTTCTTCAAGTAATACTTCTTTTTATACTTTAAATAATTTGTTCTCCATCTAATATCAATTTCAATTTTGACTCCTGTAGTAATTTAGAAATTACAATAGTAAACATTACTTGGTGATAATACTTTATTCAAAGACATACATCCTTGAAGTTCACTATTAATTTTGTGACTAAGGTACTTAACTTCTTTTTCAAATAGATTTTTCTTGGACTGAGTTTTTTAATTTTTCTGAAATTACTCTATCTAATTATTTTTCTCAAGTTTTCTCTCCTAATGCTATAACATCCTGTTTACCCATTCTATTCCTTGCAAAACTTTACTGATATGCTCTTGAAATATTGAATGGACAGCAACAATATCGAAAAACATTCTTTTGTAAGTAAAATATCCCTGGTGTGTGGCAATAACCAGATATTTGTTTTACTCCACTGTTTTACTCCACTGTTAACTCATTAATAAGAGCAGATTTTTCAAGATCCTTTAAATTAACATTTTCCTCTGGATAACGGCAAAAAAGTTCCTCCATTATGAACAGATTTTTTAAACCCAACAAATCTTTCTTTGAGATTAAAAGTAATAAACCATTAAATCCCCTAACATCTTCTTTTTTTGGTGGAGGATGATAACTAATATAATAATTTATGATTTTATTATAAACTAATTTTATTTCATGCATGTGTATATAATATGTATTTTTAATATCATTGCTTGTATTATTTTTTTATTATTGCATTTTTAAAGTCAGAAATGTTTTTATTTTTAGTTGTAAATTGTAAAAGATTCGTTGATAGTTCTGATTTTAAATTATAGTTCTGTTTGTGTCGTAGTCTTCTTGAGAACCATGGACTTTTGTCCATGACAGGATTTATCTATACAAGCAATATTTGCAGTCTCTATTAAATATGACATTAGTTAACATTTCGTTGTGTTTGTTACCTTTTGTTTCAGTATATATATTACCTAATTTGTTTATTGGCTGTTTTAAAATTTTATCTCTTGTTATGTCGAAGTATATAAACGTGTTTTCTATTTTCTTTGTTTAATCTTTAATGCGTGTTACTAAGAAATATTTTTGGCTATATAGGTAA